CAACCAAACTCGCGAATGCTTCATCCAAGGCTTTCTCGTTCTCCCCCTCAAACATCCACAGCACAGCAGCCAAGTTCCAATGCGTCACGCTCTCCACCACAAGACTGAAGGGTTGACACCAAAGTGCACAAAAGTGGTTGTCTGAGTTCAAGTTGGGTCATTGTTTGTCTAGTCTTGTCCGGTGGTGTAACTGATTAATTGTCATCTCAACTAGTCTATTGTATGTTGAACTCAATTGTAATTGAATTATTGTATTATGTATTGTACTGGTACTCGTTACTTGTTAATTGTAATCATTGTTTCTTTTGGGCACCAGCCTACAAACAACCTTTTGTTTTAGAACCGGGCCTGTACTTGGAGACTTTACCCTTGCCAGTTTTGAGCATGTCCTCAATCTTGGAAAGACCGGCTGATAAATTTTCATGCGCCTGGCTCCTGAAGGATGACAAAGTGTCCATCAGGTCTGGAAAGAAGAACTTTATGTTCTCAATCTCCAAGCTGTCAATGGTCAGCAGTGCTTTGGCTTGCTGAGTAAGGGGGTCAGTTGGGGAGGAAACCAAACCTTGAAGCACATGGGCTTGCTTCAGCACACCCACCAGCTTGTCCAACTCTGGACTCAGCTCGAGCTTCTGATCTTGGATAACCTGCAAAGCCTTGACTGGCCCGTCAGTGGCCAAGAGCTGCTTCCATTCATGTTTCCCCACATTCGTGAGCTGCTGGTCAAAACGATCCAAAGCAAGTCTGCCTTCCTTCACCCACTTTGGAAGCCCCTCCAGCTTGTGGCATAAAGCCAATGTGTTCTGCAAACCTGCTCTGGCAGCACATGAATCCTTTAATGTGGGCTTCTCCTCTACCGCATAGTGAAGCAACATGCTGGCGAACTCACTCAAAGCAAGGTTCTGATCCACATCCTGGCGAAGAACTCTTGCACAAATAAGGCCTTCGGGCGAGTGAATCCGTGAGTGACACATTTAGCAGGTTGTAGCTGTAGCCTAGCCAAATTTAACCTTCAAAGAACTTGGGAGCAACCAAAAACTCAATCGGCCTTTCGTAGCAGCTTTCCAAATCGCCAACATAACCTCATCCTTGTCTCGGCATGGTAAGTACAGGTAGGCCTTTGGCTCTTCCAGCCACAAATCCTGAACATGTTTACTGAATGTGACCTCCACATCAGAAAAGAACTCAGAGTTCATGGATGTAGTCATCTCTTCAAGCGCGCTCTTCAATTGATCTGCACTCTTTGCAGCTTCATCAGCTTTCAACTCCTGACAGGCTACAAGGTAGTCTTTTGCACTGCTGCAATTGAAACCCGCTTCCTTCACCTCATTAAAGGTGGCACTGGAAGCAAGCGCTGGCGGCTGACCAAGTTTCTTCACAAGCTCAGTCAAAGACGTAGCCAACCGCTCAGCCTCAGAAGCAGCCTTGGACTCATCAATAGCCATCTTAGCAATCTCGCAGGCAGTTGCCCAAAGAGTCCTGTAGTGGGAAAAAAGGTCGTGTCGTGTTGCATTCCTACTTGCATGCATCACATTCCAAAATGTAGAGATTAACCAAACACGCTGCCACACACACAGGCGTTTAACCCCTGTCTTCAATCTGTTGTTTGCCCGGAAGAGCAAGGCGCAGCGAGGAGAAATTTGCGGTGAATTGCTCACTGTGGCTTTGATCTCCTTGATTCGCTCTGGCCCCAAGACCAGCTCTCCCTTGGACTGAATCAGTACATATCCAAGCGCCAGGAATCGCTGCAGGTCGGGGAGCATTTTCATGACCATGTGGACGTTGCCATGCACGTCACTGTCTCCATTTGGCCTAGACCATGGCATTGTGGGGAACTGAAGTACATGGTGAATGTCAGAGGCCACCTATCTAGCTTGAACGCCCTTCCCAAGGTTTGACTACTACTTACTGACTTGCTACCCTGTTTGGAATGAAACTTGGTTCTGACTGGGTTGGAGCCCTGTCCTGCTGAAAGTTGCTGCCCAAAGGTCATCTCCCTTCTGGAAGCTACGAAGTGCACAGTCAGTGGATTCTGGACTTGCTGTTCGAAATTTGTCCATCCAGCCATTGAACAATTGCACTTGTAGGGTCTTTGCTTGCTCTGGAGGCAGTGCGGTGCCAAGTGAAACCTGTTTGGTGTGAGCATCCAAACTCAAAAAGTCCCAGAAGTAGCCGTCATTGCCAGCAGTGAAGGCCATCTCAGAAGGGAATGACATGACATCCACAATTCATGATAGTGGCAAAGGGTGTCTTTTCAACATGGTGGCCTAGTCCTATCATCCTAGTGGTTTATCACAAACTGTGACCATATGCCAGCCTCAGTGAGCTTGCGGCCAATCTCTGTCAAAATGGCAGTTCGGCAGTCAATCTGCATTGCATCAAAGAAGTCTTCATAGATCTTGAACTCATCATTGTCGAACGCAAACTGGGGGTTGCTGAGACCTGCTTTCTCAACCATATCGTGGGCATTCTCAATGGCCAAGAGACAAGTGTTTGTTTGGTTGATCAAACCCTGCAGCTCTTGGGCAAGTCTTTGCGCGACTTCACCGGGATCCTTTTCTAGCTGAGTCTGCAACTCACACAACTTTCCAAGTTTGCTGCTCACATCCTTCTCTTTGACACTGCCTTGCCACAGGCTAAGTGCGGTAATCTTCTTCAACAACTCAATCCCAGCAGTAGCCTTCTCAAGTCTTGCCGCAAGCTGCTCATCTGAAGGTCCAGCCTTGTTTTGTTTGGTCTGCACTGGTGTAGCTGCTGACTCTTCACGGCGGGCCCTTTTTGGTGCTGGCTTGGCAGGCTTTGCCTTTGCAGCTGATGTTGTGAAGCCAAACATCTCATCAGAAGATGCTGCATCTGACTCTTCAGCACCTGCTGGAGCATCCTCTTCCACCGTCTCAGGTTGGCCATTCAAAGCCACATCCTCCTCTTCCTGTGAAAAACAGGTGTGCGCTATGTGGTACAGTATCGAATGGTTTTGATCTGGATCAATCGAGAAAAAACATAACATGACATGGTCAATCATAGTCATATAGTCATAGACTCGTAGACCAATAGTCGTAATAGTCATAGTCATAGTCTATGAGTCATAGTCATCATTAATAGTAGTCTAGTCTAGTCTAGTCATAGTCATTGTCATCATAGTTCATAGTCCTTAGTCCCCTTAGCAAAAAACTTGGCACAAAAAGTTGTCAAGAGAAAGCGTGAAAAGATAGAGAGACGTGGGTAGTGAGAGCAGTCCGTCCTTCGTGTTTACCTGCATCTGGTTGTTCAACTTGTTCTTCTCCTGCTTGGACTTGGCGGCGGCTGAGTTCTCATGCTCTTCTTGGCGGATTTGTGACGCAGAGACACGGCTGCCCATTCGAACTTTCTTGGTGCTCGATGATGCCACAATGATAACTCCTTCTGTTCCCATGTCATCCTTCAGGGAGCCAAATGGCGGCACTTCTGCTGGAAGTTTAACAGGGTATATAATATATTATATTGCCAATCGCACTTATACATAGAGACTCACTGACACACTGTGTGCTGAATCTGAAGTCATTCAGTCCTGCTGCAATTTAAGGTTCAGCACCTCAGAATTTCAAGGCGGACCATTCCATTGATTGAACATGAGTTGTCCAGACTCCCAACATGAGATGACGACAAACTTCAAAAACATCTACTAAGAGTTGGCTGGCTGTCCAGTCCAGGCACATTGGAAACATAGGCTTTCTTCTGCGCAACCGTCTTCAACTTTTTGCGAATCTGTTCATCAGTGATTTTGGTGTTGATGTAATCTGTCAGCGCCATCCACTCGCCTTCCTCGTGTGAAGGGTGACAGAGAGGGCTGGTGAGGGTCTATGAAAGGACCTGGTCTGGTCATGTTCAACCTGAACAACTCCAACAAAGCCAACCATTGCAGTCCTGGTATATGTCACAGTATGATTCATCTTTGCGCTCTGTGTAGTGCTTGACGTCCACGGATTCATGCCTGGGGCGTGATCCTGGATTGCGTGTTGTAAGCTTTATGTGGCGTCGTCGCAGGGACCTGAACCTCATTTGAGCTGAAGAGGGCCACAGAACATCAGCACCACCTCAAAGCCTTCCCAAAGAAACCTCACCTCCTCACTCCCCAAGTAAAAACAACAAGATGCTGTGCAAGGCAAAGTGACTTTGTTTTCAAAGCAGGGTTCTTGAAAATCAAAGTCCGCAGCTCAGCAGCATCCAGATCTTTGAAAGAACCACGGCGTATGTAGTAGCAACGAAGGCACTCACCTTTTGCACCTCCCTTTGCTGGCGCTACCAAAAGAGGTGTGCCCTCAACAGCATCCTGAAGATTCAGCCAGAAACTGCGCATTTGAGGGGACTCATTTGACATTGGACCACTAACAGAACCATACCAACATGTTGAACACTTGTCCTCGTCTTGCGAGTTGAACTGCTGCATGCACTGGCCGCAGGTGTCCTCAGGCCAGTCTGGCTCATCTGCTGAGAGTTCATTCTGTCCCGCTTGCTGGTCTTCCGAAGCCGAAGCCATCAACACCACTGTCAATGATCGCGAGAGCAAGGCGTGAACGAGTGGGATTTTTAAGTGCCAAAACCAACTTCAATCACGCACGATGCACATGTGAGGGATATAATATAACTCAACTCAACTCAACAATGTAACTCGTAATGGCCAAGAAGCATTGGTTCTGAATGTCAACATTTGACTGACCCAACTGACCCAACTCAAACAAAAGCAGCAAGTGGAACGTACATTCTAACGACTACGCAGACCGCAACTCACGACCCCGTGACTTCCTGTGGGCTGAAGCAGACCAATGCTCTGCAAGAGGGAAAGAAGATTAGTACTTTTTTCTGCTTCAAATCTGTGGTGGAGTATGCCACGCCATGCCCTGTTCAAAATCATGTGCGCTGAATGCATGCCATGGTGGCGAAGAGCACGGGCAAACAAGAGACTCTAGGCCGTGTGGCTATGCCGCTGCCTGAGTCCAAAATACAAAACTTCAACTTGGCTTGCTTCCCACCAAGCTGATCAACGAGAGGCATCGGCTTGAGTGTCTTCATGGGTCCCCTCATTGTCCTCCTTGACGTGGCTGCTCTCATCACGCTCAAACACGCCCGCCAGCACGTCCAGAACCTTGTGCAGGATGTAATTCACCTCTGCTGAGGATTTGCCATGCAGCTCAGACTGATCAAGAAGAACCTTAGTGGCACTCTCTTCCAGCCCCTCCTGGACCACCCAAGTGATAAAGCAATCCGGGTGGAAGTATAGTGTCACGCCACCCATCTCCTGCCAGGTCCAGCCAAAGCGAACTGAGTCTTTCAGAAGCTGTTTGCCACACAGACTGCAAAGGTCTCCATCTTTCGTGACTATGGTGATAGAAAAGGATCTCATCGCCTCGGAGAAGTTTTTTGCAGGGCTTTGTCCAAGGAGCAAAGTAGGGGACTCACTCCTGACAGGGGTGCTAATCTCCCATGAATCCTCAGTCTCAGTGTCGCTGCATGAATCGAAGAAGGGATCATCAGGCTCTGGACGACCACGACATGGATCTGCCTGAAGCTTGATGGCTGGATAGCCTGCGTTTCCTGGAAAAATTCCAGCCAATATAGTCAACAGTATGCCACCGCAAACTGGTACACTCCAAGCATCTCCTGTCACAAGCAAGTAGCTGACAAACACAAAAGTGTCAACAGTCCACAACTACAAAGGCTCAAGCACGGCAAAAGGCATTGAAAACATTACATTCATGGAGAAAAAGTTGGCGCCTATCAACGTGTTGACCTCGGAGTATGTCATGGTGTCAAGGTCCAACTTGTAAGGATCAAAGCCTTGCAATACGCACAAGTCCTGCACCAATCATGAAGGACATGACACGCAAACTTCAAACTCGATAATGTATGAGGCTTGGCGCCTGACAACAAAATCAACATCAGTGTCAAGCCACAATCAGAATCGAGATGCCACAAATCCAAGTCCAGTTTTTCAGGATTCAAGCAATTTGCGAGGATAATTTTAACATTCTGAATTAACAAACTCCTGGGCGGTCAGCAGCTCATGGGTATCCCAGTCGAACAATTTCACTGAGGTGGACAGAGCTGTGGTTCTTGATCCTGTTGTAAAGGCCATTCTTGGCAAGGAACCTCAGTTTTGCTTTGCTAGGTCTAGTGGTACTGGTACTGGGTTGCTGGGTACTCCACAAATGACTGAGGCTGAATGATTCATCCAATTCAAATGAGGCTGTAGCGGGCCAAATCTGAAACGCATCGAGCACCTGATGGGTCCAGTCCCTTAGCCTTGGTGAAGTGATGTGAAGCTGCAGGCACACGGGCACAACAAATTCTGACATCACAACAAGAAAGTTGAAAAAAAACAGTCCAAATCAGAACAACTACTTTGCCTTTGACAATGGTTGACAAAACCAATTGCAATCAACCAATAAAGTTCTCAATGTGAGTCTTACCAGTGAAGCCCATGTGATACGAGCTCTACCATGGAAAATGCAGAATGTACAGGAAACACATACTGTCAGATCACCCATTTTGTTTGGTCAGTGACAGTGTGTTCATATAGTTAAAGTGGCTGAGCTTAACCAAAGTACCAATACACTATGTTCAACAATCCACTATGCCTAAGCCTAAGCCTAAGCCGTTTTCTTGTATAAATTCCACAGTGGGGAAGTTTCTTTGTTAATTAAACTGTGTTGTTCAATTTGCAAAATTATGTGTACCGGACCCTGACTGTGTGTGGTTTAGGTGTTTTTTTAATGTAAGTTGTAAGTACTCAGACTTTCGTGAGAGGCTATGGCTATCGGCTACATGTATATTTACCAGTACAGTTGCATTTGATACTTAGCTTAGCTTCACGCATCAGTTTAAAGCTGTGGCTGAAGCCATTTTTAACTCATGTAAATAAGTGGATAGCCAGGATAGCATACCATAATATGACTATGACTCTGACTCATAGTCAATGTTTATCTACGTCAACCGAACCGTCAATCATTCTTTGTCGGAGTCATAGTCATGAGTCATAGTCATGAACTTACTTTAGTTAAGTAAGTTAGTTATAGTCAGAGCCATAGTCATGTCATAGTCATAGTCATAGTCATAGTCATAGTGTAGAACAGTTTAGAGTTTAGACAGTACAGATGTCAGAAAACATTAAGTAGTAGTATTAGTAGTAGTAGTAGTAGTCGTCGTCGTAGTAGTTGTAGTCGTCGTAGTCCGTAGTCTTGTAGCACTAGTAGTGGCATTTCTGCTAGTAGCAGTAGTAGGAGGAGGTTATGAATTACAAGTGTTACAAGGCAATATGGCAATATCATATCGTAATAGTCAGAGTCATAGTTAAGTATAGTCAGTAAGTATTATATAGTGTGATATATACAGTATAAGTTTAATAGTTAGTTATAGTTATAGTCTAGTCATAGTTAGTTCTAAGTTATAAGTAGTTATAAGTTATAAATTATAAGTTATAAGTTATAAGTAGTTCGTTGGTTCTAAGTTCCAAGTTAGTTATAAACTATAAATTATAAGTTATAAGTAGTTTATTTCTTACTATATAAATTATGATATGTTAAAACCAGGCATATTACAAATAGTTCAAGACGGTTTAAGACGGTTTCGAACTATTTATAAACAGCGGTTTACAAATAGTTCAAAACGGTTTGAAACGGTTTCGAACTATATATACAATCCAAACTATTCAAGACTAATCAAGACTAATCAAGACTAAGTTGAGACTAAATGGGTTTGGGCAGTACAAATAGTTCAAAACTATATGTAACATGTTCAGTTGATGTTTGGCATCATCAGCTCGACTAAACTATCATTTTCTAGTCTCCAGTAATGAGTCTTAGCTTGCCTAAATGACTATTACTTAATCTAACACAAAACACACAACAACCAACTACTACAACTACAAATGAATTGAGTCGCGTCAAGTCTGAACGAGCCTTCCTCTTGGATGAAACACTGTAACAACAACAACAACAACAACAACAACTTAACAACTGGACAAAATGAAAAATCAGCTTGGGTGCCTTTATGAGTACGGCGTGGGCATCCAGACAAGTCTTCTCACGAGTGTTCAACTGGGCTGAAATCTCCTCATCAAGGGTGGAGCTAAACCTTCTGCTGCCAATGACACCCCATTGGCGAAGAAGCGCCTCTTCCTTTTGCTGGCCCTTTTCTGTGCGGCGCCCATCCTCCACAAAAAGGCAATTGTGGGGAGTTTGGCAGAGAACAGGGGAGGGGGAAAGGGCCCTATCAAAAAATGAACAGAGACTATCGATAAATCTGGCAAGACTATCGATAAATCCTGTGAGACTATTTATAAACCCTGCTTTGGAAGCCCTTGGAAACCGTTTCTAAGGGGCCCATCACCAATTACAGGGACCCTCCAGGTGGCAAGTTCCCCTCTGGACCAGGAACAGTCCTTGGACTTGGGGGGGGGTGCAAGAGTCCCCCCAGAGGAACTGTCTTCACGTACTCCTTGACCTCCTGCACGGAGCTTTGCCCCAGCTGACTGGGCAAAGCTTGCGTCACCACATGCACCAAACCACTGATTTGCCCAGTGTCAGCAAGGTCTTTGCGAACCATCAATATGTAAAGCCTGGACCTTGACTGTGGCAGGCCAAACTCCCGGCTCCTGAGACGCAACTCTCTGAGAGCATGAGTCATGTGTGTGTGTGTGTGACTGTGTGTGTGCTGTACAGGCATGTCCTATCAGTCTGCCAGTCTGACTCTGAGTCACACACAAATTCTTAACTTATGACTGATGTGATGTGTCTTGCATAATCCTTCCAACTTCTTAGGGTTAGATTAGATTGTGGGTTCTGACCTTCGCACACTGCTTGTTGAAACCGCAAATGAACAGTCATGCCCAGAGGGTGCCAAGTGTCTCCATAGTGAGCAGCTTGATGTGATATTCATCATCCAGATATCGAAGACCAATCTTTTCTCCATACCATTCTCCACGAAGCATAAACTCCAGTGGCGTCTGCACAGGTTGGAGATGCTTTCATGGGCCACAAGCAACCACATGTCTTAGCAAACCGCAAATGTGGAGTCGGATCAAAACAACATCACAGTAATTCCTTGGGTGGACTCTCCTGGGTGTGGTAAGGTGTAGGCCATCTCTAATCGCTATAGTGTGTGTTTTTCCATTTGGGGATTTTATGCTACCTGCTGACATCTGACATCTCCCTTTGTCTCTGAAGAATGAATGCAATACAATACAAACAAACATCATAGTTGCAAGTTGCATGGGAGTAGTATTTAAAATTGCAACAATGCGACTCTTCTGAACGACGCATTTTCAGCAAGCACTCGTTATTCACCCCGCAGAGTTGCTGC